TGAAGAAGAAAAAAAATGAGCCAAAGAGCTATTCTTTTCAGGCTATGACTCATTTACTTGAACAAAGTGTCACCTATGCAACTATGGTGTGAAAGAGTTGAGTCCCCACACAACTGGTTTGTCTTGATTATTTTCAGATGGGTAAACAGCATCACAAATGTCAAAGTACAGAAATTCGCATACTTTTTGACTTTTGGAAATATAGCAGAGTCCAGGTTATTATACTTTTAACAGCATCATTTTAATTGGCCTAACTATAGTGACATGTTTAAATATGCCTTAAAAAATTCTTTCTTGAGTATAAGAGAAAGGGGTAGAGTTACAGGGATATACCCTGCTGGGAATTTTGCATAAATCTGGCTATGCCCATGGGAAAGTGCTGTGAGAATGTAAAATGTAAATGCAAACGTCATCTATCATGTTAATCACTGTAAACACTGAAATGAACTAATGTAACTAAATGGAAACAAACTAGTTAGAAAAACATAACACATAACTTGTAATGAGGAAAATGAGAGATGTTAGATTTCAAAAGATTAGTGATAGACCTAAATTAAAAATACAGGATGAAGAGATTACAGGTGTATAAAATTTAAAAGATGATTTACAAAAATTCAATTCATATACAAATTTGTACCTACTTTGGAAAATAAATCTCATTTATGGTCTAAATACTCTTTAAATTCTCTTTTCTGAAGAGATACAATTGCACTTCCTCTGGCCTGAAGAGTATCTGAAAGTAATTCTATTTTTTTTTTTTTTTGCAGCAGCAGCAGTAGTGTCTAAGTTCTAGAAAAATATGATTCTGTGAAAAAAACTGTTAGTCACTAAACTCTTTCTCTTAGTTTTCATTAATTTCCTAGAATAAATTTGTTTGGAGTTTTTATATGGTTTGTTTCTATTTGCCTTTAATGTCTATACTTCTTCAAAAGTCAGTTCCTTTCAAAGATTCACAAATGATACAGTGCAGCCAGATTCCTGATTTCCAGTTGATGTATTTTGTGATAAAAATAAAGAATGCTCAAGAATATTTTTAGATGATACTCAGGTGTCATGACATCATCTCATTTTCCACAATTTTTGAATGATTTTCTCTCCCATATATATTTATACACGTTACAATCAAATAAATGTTGCATGACCCAATGCTGGGCAGAATTTTATTGTTCATTCTCCTATTCTATATATACCAAAATCTAAAGCAATAGAAGCAAAAACTGAAGTATATTATTTGATTGAGATACATAAAGAAATCTGATTATTTATTTTTAAAAAAAATCGCCCCATAGAAATTACAGAAGAGTACTGGACAATGGAATTGCTTTCTATTCCTGAAGATATTATCCCTTTGCCTCACTAAGCATTTCCAGACAGATGAGAATCAAACATTTGAAAAGAGCTTTTAGGAAATATACAACTTCCATTCCAATTTCTAATATATTTCTCCATCCAAAACCCCTTAAGATCTAACCCATATGCCCTAGTCCTCTTTATTAATCCTTGCTTTTTCCTCAATGAAGGTTGAGTTTATTAGCAGGCTGCCATCATCTGAACAATGGTCCTTTGTGTCAGTGAGACCTTGAAATAAAGCACACCTCTACTTACTTCCTATTAAAATATTTCTGATTTACTTTTACCTTTATTTATAGGTTTTCTTTATAATTAGATATTTGATTCACAAATCCCAGAGTCATATTCGTTATACTGTAAATATTCACTAGTTGAAGTGAAATAAAACATAAACATTCTCAAAATGTTGGGTTAAACATTCATGTTTCCGGCATGACTTTTCCACAATGAGATGATATATATTGTTTGAAGTCACGATCATATATTTTCACTTCAAGAAAAGCATGGGGACTTTGAAAACACTTAGGAGAAAATAAGCACTGCAGAAGCTGATTATGATGACAATTTTGCTTATTGTGTTTCTATAATACACAAGGCATGCTGAATAGGACATGTTCCTAGTCCTCAAGAAGTTCATAGTCTATTAAAAAAATATATGTATTTATACTACAACCGAATAAATACAAGATATAAGAAGCTGTAGCATCTAACTCTGCAGGATCAGGATGTCAGGAAAAAGTCAAAAGACTCAAGATGCTAAACTCTAACTGGAGTCTGGGCCAGGAGCATCACCAGACCACAAAACAAAAGTAGAAAAATTTAAAGCAAAACGAGCATGTGCAAAGACAAAGAAGCATCAAACAGACCTCTTTGGGAAACTGAGAAGTTCAAAGGGTTCAAGCTCAGAGAATGAGAACAGATGGGGTGCTGGAAAGGCAAAAGTTAGAACTGAAATGGCAGGCAAAGTCCAAGTTACAGAACAATGTTGTGGAAAGCTAAAGAATTAGACTTTGTTCTCAAGGAAGTTTAAGGAGAAAATTAACAAGGCCCAGGGGCTGTGCTGATGCCACTGCAGAGTGAACCTGGAGAAAAAACTCAAGGCAAGAACACCACCAAAAGAATGATTCACAGCCCAGTCAAGGCAGAACGTGGGTGTGAACTAAGTAGTGAAGCAGAGATGGAGTAGAGGCCATGAAAGGAAGGTATTTTGGAAACGTAGCATCAATAACATGGTAAACAATCAGAGACTTAGGTAGAAAATTAAGAACTGAAAATTAAAAGCTTGAAGCTTGGAAGACGATGCTGTCAACTCAGAAAGGCAATAGAAGTAGAAAAACAATATCTGTCAGGAACAATAATGATGTCAACATTGGCCTTGCTGAGTATGAATTGTCTGCAGAGCATTACAGCGAAGTTCAGTGTTGTCGTCTAAAAGGTGTTTTCTGACAACTCACAGCTGAAGGTTGAGGGGATGAGTTCAGAGATGTTGCATTTTTCTAATATGCACAAGGACCCATGTGGTGGATCAGGTGAAGATGTCCAGATATAAAACGGGCAGGGTGGAGACCCAGTCTAAGAGTAACAGTGGAGGAGACACAGCTACACAGAACTATGCTGACTGCAGCAGTCAATAGCCAGTGTCTATTTAGAGTCATGAAAATTAAATAAAATTAAAAATTCATTCCCATTAGCCACATCAAGTAGTCAATGGCTAATGCAGTTAACTGACAACTGTATCAAACAGTAGATATAGAGACTATGACATCTTGGAAAGATTCATGGGACAGGGCTGGCATGGCATGTGTCAAAAAAGAGTAAAGAACTTGGGGACAGAACCCAAGAAAGAGGAGGGAAGGAAAATGAGTTAAGTGAGGAGGAATTAAAGGAATACAAAGAGAAAGGGAAAATGATGCCAGCGCGATAAAGAGAAGAGAGTTCAAAGAGACAATATAGCCAAGTCTAAATTGAAGAAGTGCAACAAGAAGAGTAAAAAATTAGGCTTAAATTGTTATTTTAACCTGGCACTTGGTATAGTATTGGAATCATTACCAGTTTCTTCAGATGCAAAGTGACTCAATAAGCCTAATTCTTCCGCTCAGATGACAGTTCTTTTAGAAAGAACTCAAGTGTCCCACAGAAAATAAAGTGTTAGAAATATGACCATTCTCTTCTCTGACCATACTTTAATGAAAAAGGAGAGGCCTTAATCCTTAACCATTATCCTTCTGGAAGTTGCTATAAGCCTCTAATTGAGGTCTCTATCATTGCTGAACAAGTTTCTTCACATCATATGACTATTAACTGTATTCTGACATCATTTAACACATAAAATTCTCTTTTTGGATCAAAAATCAAGCTAATAGAATAGTAGCTACCAGGGAGCTGGGGACAGTGGGGAATGGGAGTTAATTTTTAAAGACAGATTTTCAGTATGACAGTTCTGGAGATGGAAGTATTCATGCTTGCACAACATGTAGTTCAGTGATACTGAACGACACATTTAAGAATGTCAAATTGGTAAATTTCTAGTTATGGATATGTTACAACTGAAAAAAAAAAACCAAAACCTTTTTTAAATGAACCTGAACTTATGGGTAAGAATCTGGAAGAAAGTTCTCATTACCCTTGACACCTAGGGAATTTGGTATAGCAAACAAATGGTAAAAACACTGGTCACAAACAGCTGCTACTCGAAGAAACATAGGTATTTATATTGGATTTATGATATTAGGTGTGAAAATATGGGTTTGATAAATTGTAATACATTAAACATCTCTTGTTGTTGATAGCTTCTTGTAAAAGTGTCAGTGGTCTGGCAAAATGAAACAAGTTAGAGTTTAACCGGTGCTAAGAGAACAAAAAAATGTATTAGTTCAGTTTCATAATCGAGATGGCATTTATACTCTTTTCTTTACTATTTGCACCTCAGGTCAATAGCTGCCGTTAGCTGGTAGAATGGTAAAGCATAAATATCAGAAGTAAACCCTAAGGCAACCATGTTTGTACAAGCAAAATGTTCCCCAGTGCAATTAAGGAAGGGCAAGTATCCCATGAATCACTCACTCTTCATGTTGCTCTGACAGTCAGGCCCTGGGGCCAGGCTCAGGAAGAGGAACACTAAAGAGATCCTAAGCAAAGACAACAGTCACTTCCATTCATGTCATTGCAACCAGGAAGCATAAAGTGAGGCTAAAAATTAAATCAAAACAGGTGACAATTCATGAGTGTACAATATACAAAAAAAAAAGTTTAGTCCACAATTTTTATGTTCTACCGTAAATAATCTCCTATGGACTTTTACTACTGTCTCCATCAGCATCCAGACTCTTCCTGGTAAACATACTAAAAATCTGGGAGTAAACACTTGCACATTCATAGATCACACCCTGTTTCTTCTCCAAGGAAAATAACAAAATACAGAGAATAGGGCCATCTTCTGAAACTTACATCGTTTTCCTCAGCTACTATTTGAAACTCGGCTAAGATCATTCTGCTCATGTCACAGCCTCACAAAATCACCTCATGACTGTAAATTAAAAAAGCACTGACACAATGCATGAACAGACACTGCAAGTGGAAACCAAGCAAAGAGAAAGAAGGAAACAAGAAAGACAAAGAAAAATTCAAGAGATGAGTCATACTATACTTACAACTTTCAGCCTGATAGTCTGGCACAAACTGCTCATCATTGTCAGGTACCTGAGCTGAAGAAAAAAAAATTAAAAAAAAAAATTAAGAGAGAAACTGCCAAGGCATAAGGAATGTCAAGTAAGATCTTTCAAATAAGATCTTTTTAGGCTGAGATCAAACCTTACTATTATTTGCCAATGAGCTCCTATTTAAAATTGCTCCTATTGACACCAATACTTAGGAGGGGAAAGAGAAACAATCAGATCATTGATGTCAATTAGAAAACATGTATGTCAGGAACATAATGGTGGCAGTTGTAGTCCCTCTGAATTTCACTTGCCAGATGGAAATAAAAGAGACATGCAAAATAAAAGAAGCTACAGGATTTCTGTTAGTTGCAGGGTTTCTTTTTGTAAGAATGGAGTAAAAAAGGTTTTGAATCCCACTGCCAGAGCTTAAACAAACAACCCATGTAAATTAACCACACTACTCTTTCGAGTGATCTGCAGTTATCACACCCAAGACTGCTACTTTCGAAATGCCTGCTTTTGGTTAAGTTTGGTCTATTGCAAATTAGATTACCACAATTAGAAATGTTCACCGTAAAGTTGGCCAAAATATGCCACAAATTTTTTTAAGTGAAACATGGTTGTTGATTTGGGTTAGCTATAATAAAATACTATATTTCAGTGTTTATGATGAGAATAATAAAAATAATAAATCATACAAATAAACTCCATCTTTTCATGCAAAAATATTTTCCTGGCAACTCTTCAGCACTAACGAAAAGAATATCACTATTTCATGAGTCCTAATGTCAAATGACTTCCCTATTTTTAGTAAAGGAAAAAAATACTCAATAGCAAGGACTTAATGCATTCTGCAGCAATCAAAACACAAGAAGACTTTTTCACTTCTAAGATATTTTCATCATGGTTGATTTAGACACCAAAATAACTTGTTCCAAATTGACAGAATATTACAAGAATGAGTTTTCACATGTAGAAGCAAATATACTCACACACAAACTACATAAAATAGAAATTAGGTTTCTTTTAATTTGGTGAAAATATGAGTTACCATCCTAATTAACTTACGGTATCATCCGATTAGATGACATTATCTAATACTGAAACTTACCCAATCAAATCATATTAAAACAGATGTCAACTGCTTTTAAAAAGAACCTATTTTATATAGAGACTGCATATTGAAATAACAAATCTCTGTTAAAAAAAAAAGTCTGCGGATGGTAACTGAAAGAGGCAAGAAAAATTCTATATATAATTATATAAAAGGAATACAACATACATAAAATGAAAGGTTCTACTTATCAGCTTCTTTAATAGTAGCTTAAAAGCCAGAAATATTGGGCTGAATGTATTATGCTAACAAGAAACAGAATCAATGATAATCTTGATTAAAATATATACAATCTGATAATCAACTGTTTCTTAACAACTTTCTTCTGTACACTGATACTTATGCTTATTCAAGACAAATTCTATCCTCTGCACCAAATGAAAGGAACTATCTTAATATGAACCATCTTCCAACTTAAAATGTATGCCTATTTGACCAGCCTACACTGCAAGAAGTTTCTCTCTCTGGATCCCAATTTAAAACCAGAGTTCTTCTATGACTTACTATCTTTGTAAGCTGTGTGACGTTATTTAACTTCTTTGGAACTCCTTCATACTCATCAGTTTAATAATAATAATACAGGGAATTTTTTGGTGATGATTAAATGAAACAGTGTAAACACAATCCCCAACACAGGCCAAATACTCAAGTAACTTCGCTTATTTTCTTCTTTCCAGTCCCTTACAACCCTTCCTTTTCGTTCAATTCACACACAAGAAACTACTTCAATCACTACATGTTTAATATCTTCACTTCTAATGAACCATATGGGAGAGATAAAAATAACAGCTAAAATATATGTACACTGGCATCCTGTTAGCTATAAACATTTTTTGATTTTGTGGTAAACTGATTTTTCTCAAACTCATATGTTAGAAGTGGAGGAATATTCTTTAAATCTTCACAACAAAATTTTGTACTAAAAATTACAAAAATATTTTTAATAGCTATTTAACAGCAGGTAGACAGGATCAAATCCTACATATTTTTTCTATCATGGCCACATTTTGGTTTTCCCTCTAAATTAACAGCTAAACAGATATAATAATTATTGAGATGCAAAAGTATCAACCACAGCAATTACTATGCTTTTAAAAAGCCAACATTTACAAGAATCTAATAAAAATGAAATACCCCTTTACAGGAATAGTTAAAAATAGATGGTGAGTAACAAAAGTATATTTGTAACTGAATATGCGGGTATGTGTGAAAGGCTAGTTTTTTTTTTTTTTTTGATTACTATCATAAGACAAAGTTGCAACTCCATGACATATAATCACTGCAAGAAAGGGTGTAGAGTGCCTTGTGTGTGTGTGTATTTGTGTGTGTGTGTTTGTATACATGACTCTGGAAAGAAATGTAGCAAAACTTCAGGAGCAGAAGAAACTACAAGTTATACCTCACAAACATACATAAAATAACTGCATACTAACAATTTGTAAAAAGCATAAGAATCACTTTAAGAATTGCTATTTCTGTTCTAACTCCTTAACATACTGAATAAATACTTCACACTTATGCCTGAACATATTACAGAATTTTAACAAAAAACATATGACTCACATTTTCACAGAAGCTAATCTTAAGAAACTGGATAGACCAAATGAGGCAGTGTGCTACTTAAATAGACAAAGGCTTAAGTATACCTTTAATTTCAAGTTAGAGTAAAAGGAAAGCAGTTAACTGAAAACACAAGTTGGATCTGGGCAAGGAAAATGTGACAAAGTACTGCCACACTCATATCATATATGCCCTTTTTTCTTCAATTCACAGGAATTCTGTGAAGTAGCAATCTCAGGCTACATGAAAATTTGTGGTAAGGCATACCAACGCCAAAGGGAAAAATTAACAATAGAGGCCAACCTAAAACAAATGGTTTTTTCACTCCTCTCTATTATAAATTATGCTTGAAATAATCACCTTTGGGGAATGAAAATGTTTCCCCACACTATGTAATTAAAGAGGAAGGGGAAGAGTAAGAAAGACGAAGGGGGGGGGGAAGTATATACCAAAAGACCAATAAAAGGCTTTCAAGAAGATTAAGCATGTGGATTTTATTGGTAATAGCTGGAGCGACTCTGTCAGTTCATTGCACATTAATAGACAAGTTGCCATGAAGTCTCAGGACTTCGGCTTTAAAAGGCTAGTATCTGCACTCTCAGCTATTTGATTTACGTAGATTATTTCCAAAGTTTTTTTTTTTTCCTTCTCTCTCCTTTTTACTGCATAGCAAAACAAAGTATGAGAAACTCATGAAAATATTAATCAGGACCTATCCATCATGAGATGACTATAATTTTTAATTTTAATATAGCTTCTGAACTAACATTTCAGTGTGGGTGGGTAATATTTATAAAGTTTGTTATTATTTTATACTTCTTTTAAAGTTTCAAAGAATAATCATAACTTAAGATGAGGCATTTGAATGTTTCTCAAGGTTAACTATAGGCAATTAACTGTCTCCTTCTTTGCAAAGTAGGTGCCTGTTGGATTTTCTTTTAAAGCCAGGAAAAAAAGTAGAAAAATTACAAATGAAACAAAAGTCAAGTAGAAAAGGGGTTAATATTTAATTAAAACCAGTTCTATCCACTGTAACAATGACCTGGAGCCAAACAAGGCGGAAGATGTATGAGTCATTCTTTCTGCCCGTGAATGAGACAGCTGATCTCCTCAGCAATTCCTCCAGACAAGCAGGCAGAACTGGAGTTCTGCCTCCATTCACAAAAACACAGTCCAGCGTGAGCCATGTGGCCCAACCACAATCTTTTCATGTCACACCCTTTCAGAGAGCTAAAGCAAGTCAACTTGAACTTACAACATAAACACACCAATTTTATTACTCTGTCTCAAACACAATTCAGATCCATGAAGGTACACATTTAAATAAATGGCAAGTTTACAAAACTAAATGTATATTGAATCCACCCTGCTTGCTAGGGTAACTTGGGGGAAAAAAAATTAAAAGGAAGGAAGAAAAGAAGGGAAAAAAGGAAAGGAGGGGAGAAGGAAAGAAGGCAAGGGAGGGGGAAGGAACGGGAAAAACACTGAAGAAATGCTTTCTTTTTCTTGCCTACTATTCAAATTTTATTTATCTTAGATTGTAATAGATTATTGGTGAACTTTGAAGCATTTCACTTGGATCAAATGTTTAGAAACAAGTTACCCTGAAGAAATTTACATTTGATTTTAAACAAAACAAGGAAATCATCCATTGCACAGTGGCATTCTGTTTAATCCTGTAATGAAGCTTCAGGCCATGGAACAAAATATCCATGAGGCCACTAAGCCTAGTTTTATACCACATCCACTTTTAACATTAAAATGATTGTACCAATGTATAAGCATTAATTAATACAGAAGTATAAACATATTTAAACAGACAAAAAAAGAGGCCATTTCCCTACGACAGAAACTTCTTCAGAACTTGAAAAAGACATTCTTTTTATACGCTCAAAAAGAAGGAAAACACAAGTTGTAGTTGTCTTTAGTTCATATCGGCTTTCATTCCAAACTCTGAAGAGATCTGCAGTGACTTAAAAAGTCAAGGATAGCTCGGAGCTGCTGTTTGTTTTCCATAATACTACAGAACTCTGATAGTATGGTTGTATTATTAGTATCATTATTCAGGTCAAAGGGAATGAAGTTATATTACTGAAATTCGAGAAAATATGCTTTTCCTGTAACTGAGCTAGAGAAGCTCAGAAATATTTCATTTGCACTTGTCCAAGCCCTTGGAGAAACTCTATCTAGCCTATACCAAATTCAAATTTCATTTTTAAAATGCTTTTTTCTATTTTGCAAATAAATGTTTAGAAATAAAATACATTTACTCTAACCAGGTATCTTTAAATCTAGTTCAAATGGGAAGTCTTTCCTATTTTCGAGTATTTCCTGGCACAATAAAAAGAAGGGCAGTTCCCCTTCCCCCCACACACCCATCCTCTCTCTCTCTCTCTCTCTCTCTCTCTCTCTCTCTCTCTCACACACACACACACACACACACACACACTGTCTCTTGTCCTATTTTAAGTTGTGAGAACGTTTGTAATTTAATACTTAATACTCAGTTCCTTCTTTATATATACCACATGAAACAGTTTTTAAAGGCTTTATTTCTTCTTGCCCCACACTTAAAAAAAATTCATAAGCACATATCCAATTTTATGTTCCATTTCAAAAAAAGTGTAACTTTTGAAAAATTAAAAAATAAGTGCACGATGACTACTGTGCATTGTTGATGGCACTATGTAACAATAGCAACTATTAAAGAATTTCATATAAATTTCTTATCAGTCACTGAAGTGAACAGAGGAGATACAATGACATCTCTACTTTTAAGTCAACCTACTGTTTGCAAGTCATGTTAAACAAAAATGAAAAAGTTTTATCTGCATGAAGTAATACCCTTTGGCTTAGAAAGATTGCTCTTAAGAGATAAAGCTTTGGTTCAGTTTTGGTGGCAACATTTTAAAAACTGGACCTTCTACTACAATAAGTTTTAAAAATATTACGCCCTGACAACAGCGAATCATTGTGGACTTTTTTCCTTAATATTACTGATATGTTACCTCAAGAACTTCTAAACCCACATGAAAAATAATCATAGAAAGTTGTTATGTATTTATATTAGATGCACATAAAGTGTATTATTTTCCTATAAGGAGCATTAGTAGGTAAGCTTCAATAAGCAATTTTACACCCTGTTACTACTGTTTTCCCACACACTAAAGGATCCATTTTAACTATCATTTCTAGGACACTATTTACTAAAGCACAGCTTACAACAGGTTTAAGAATAAGACGTTAGCATAATGTTAATCGGATTGATATCTGAACTCATTTTTTTACTGGATCAAATAATTGAAATCGCCTTTCTGTCAGTAACAATCTAATTCAAAAGACAACGAATCAATAAAGGATGTTACATAGTAAAATTACAATAGAACTTCTAAACCCACATGAAAAATTTAAAATAGGCATATTCTCTAATATTTTTTAACTGCTACTGCTTTTCAGTTTTCATCAGTATCAGATGTGATTAGTAAAATTTAAAAAAAGATTATTTTAAATTGTATTATATACACTACAAAATAAAAATATACTTTAATTACTTGGAAAGAGACTAATATAAATTATATTCTTCAAACATATTTTAGACCCTGTATGGAATTTTGGGGGGAGAATGGGAGAATATTTTCATAGGACTTTAGTAACCTGGAAATACTAGTTTCAACCCCACTCTTAAGTAGTCCTCCCTGCTTATCTATCACAACTCTCCCTTAGACATAAAACACATTTCATAATTCATAATAATGTACCTATATGGCCAATTCTTATGTTGCACTTTGGGTCTGATTTACAAAAATTCTTAGAAGAGAAAAACAAATTAAACATGCTAGAAAATGTCATTTTCCAAGTAATTAGGGATTTTGATAAATTTTTAAAATATGATTTTCATATGACACACAACTAATATGATCTTCATGTATATGATTTTTAGTCCTATTTAACCTCCCATTGTGCTTGGATTCTAACTTAAGGGGAAAAACTTGGTTAGTTGTCAGTGATCTTTTTTAAAAGGGTCAAGATACCTTAAAATTCCATGGTCATTTTCTTGGCCACAAAGCATTATGAAAAGAAATATGTCAAAGGCTCAATTGACAGTTTGGCAATGTTTTAATTTTTGGATGTCCTGAAGAACATAAATGAACAAACCTGATATGAATAAACTGGTGTAACTTTTAGATGTCTTCTTATTAATGTAATTTTTCAAAATGTGGGATAAGTCAATTAAAAATAATAATTCAAAATAATATAATTATATGTGATTGCTAAAAATAAAAATAAATGTGCAAGCTATTAATGAGGAAAAATCTCTCTTCTCCCTATTAGATTTTAAAAATCATATTAACAAGTCTGCTTTAACCATGATAGGATTAACTAATGTTAACTATTTTGAAAAATGCTTAAATTATTTTAAAATGCAGTTTTAGCCAGAGTTTGTAAACCACAGCCCACCTGGGTATTCAATAAAATACTCCAAGGATTAATTCCTGAACTTATTTAAGTTTATCAGTTCTTTTCTAAGTTCATTTTCCTCCAAATGCATCGGTCATTTTCTAGATTATACATGAAGCTAAAATCTTCAAATTGGATTCATAGGTATTTTAATAATCATAGATAAAAAACACTCAGCGCAGCATTTTAAAAGATACACTCAGGTAAAATATTCCAATTATCCAAACAACAAAGAAATGAAACAAAAGTGAAAAACTATATAAAAAAAACTGATATAAAATGGTAAGTCTGTCAGATTCCACATTTTTAAATTCCAGGAAGAGCTGCTATGTACATTCAAAATCTGCCAGCAAGTGCACTGCTTGGAATCAAGGAGACTTAAACATCTTAAGAACCCACAAGTCTTCCAGAACAATTAAAACAGATTATTTTTAATTATTTTGAATAAGTAAATAAATGCCCTCATAAGTACAATGTTCTCCCAACCTTCAACTTTGCAAAACAGATAAAAAATTATTACAAAACCTCTGTGCAAATTTTTCTTGAAAAGTTATGTTTAAATATATGGCTTATGTTGCAATAATAAGTAATCTATTGCAGTAAGTTTCATTTACAGAAACAAGCAAAATGACCTTTAAATACAACTAAAACTTTCATTTATACTTACCTTTCATTAACATATAAATGCAATCACCTTTTCAAAGGGCTACCAGGAAAGCTATTTAACTTAAAAGATTTATATAGATTGCAAAAGTTCTTTGGAGAACTACAATATCAGCAAAACAAAGAAACTTATTTTACATGCTAACAGCAACTTGATCAACTGCATAAAAGACCACCAGATAAAACAGCAGTCTGCCTCAAAGTAGCTACAGCAGCAGTTGGGTTACATTTAAAGAGAACATCTCTCTTCTTTTAACCAGCTTAAAAATCTGATTCAAAAAGTGCATTTTTGCCACAGAATGCAAAATCAGAAATAACACAATTATACTCACTCCTTAAATATCTATAATTCCCTCTGTGTGTTTCCCACAAAACACACTAGGATTCACCTAGTATGATAAAATAAATATTTCACATTTATTTCGACAAATCTCAAAGAGAAAATTTCAAATTATAGATGCCAGCAAAAGTACCTCAACATTAGACATTACTTAAGTTGTACAAAGCTGTACTGGAGCAATATGTCATTCCTATAAAATAAAGTTTCAGATAATAAAAGATTACAACATAGAACTGTATCCAAAAAAAGTGCAAAATAGAAAATAATGCCTTTAAATAGCTCCTGGCTACAGTCAATTCCTAGTAAAAGTAACATAATATCAAAGGTCAATTTCAACAAACATCACATAATAGTAGCAAATCGAAAACATCTTTTAAATCTTCAAATCCCCCAAAGAGTTATTTTAAAGTCATAGATTTTTCTAAGTATTGAATACACACCTAACCTTCTGTGCTGGGAACAAGGTGGGAAGAAGACACTTGCACTTAAATCTTGAAGCATCCCGTCCTGATGAACCCAGAGAAACTAATTTCTGCCATCAGAAAAGTCCTCCACCAGAACACCAAATAATGATATGCGCTGCTCTAAAGGAAACAGCAAGCTGGGTTCTGGCTCTAGGAGGTCTCTCGAGGTACAATAATATAAACCTGATCAATTGCAATTAAAATCTGAACAGAGGCTTAGAACTTGAAGTCTTGGTGCATTAGTTCTTGCCAAAAGCAGATGTGATTGTGAGCTGGAAGCAATTTCTCCTGGTAATTTGTGATGACACTGGGTAGTGCAGCCCCAGATTCCCCAAAGACAAACTCATCAGAGGCTCTAATGTATGCATGACACATGAGGTGGCTCTTTTAGAGCTCAATTAATTGGGCTGAACATTAAGACAGCAAGTTCAGGACTTTTTTTTCCCTTCTAGAGTAGCTTTTCCCCTCCTCTTAAAGCAATTTTTTTGCCTTACCTTCTGCAAGCCATGTTTCCTGTAATTGACTTAGATCTTGAAAGAGTTCTAAAAAACAAGCCAAAGACATAAAAGATTTGCAAATTTTAGGCTTCACTCATTAAGTGGAAATGTTTGTCATAAAATTGGTATTAAGTATCAATTTATTTAATTTGTGGAGGTCAATAAAAAAGAAAATAGGATTCAATAACTGAAATATCTCAATAATCTATTCATTTTGAGGCTACTTAGCAATTCTTCCTTAAAACATATTCTTTTTGTCAACCAAACAATTTAGTTGATCACCATTTTTTTCCCTCCTTATCAGGGACCCTAAGCAGCACACAGACTGGGATACACAAAAAGGTTGTCTCTAATCACAATATTTTTTCTTAAATTCAGCTCTTGCTAAAACAGTAACATGAAAGCCTGAAAGACATTTCTATCTTCTGAATCATAAATAAAAGATGCAATTCTCAAAGTTACCCTTCCATTTCAGTTTCAATGCCTCAAAACTAAAGAGGAAAACTTTCAAATGCAAGTTTGCAAGAGGAAAATCACTCCATTAATAGGTTTACATAAGTCAAAGAGAGAGAATTCTCTGGCACCTGTTCATTATTAAGTCCCAAACTGTATATTCTTGTCCTAGGAGGAAAGGAGGGGGTGTCCGATAAGCATGAAGACTTGAAAAAGTTTCAGAATTCAATATACCTAATCTACATTGCAAGCTGAACTCTGATAATTAAATTCAAGCATATTAAGTCGATTATGAATTCTCCATATGGCTGAAATAATTCATAATATATTGACCTCCTACCAACAATTCATAAAAAGAATATGTAACCTCATTTCCCAAATAGGTATTATAATTATTCATTAGGCCTTAATTATGATTCAGTGAACACTTTAAGGCTTATAAAACAATATATTATAACCTCACCATGTACATCAAAATCATCCATGGAAAGTTTGATGATAGTATATGGTTGCAGTGTAACTGGGAAATGAAGCAGTAATTTATATCATTTAACTTCTAATAAAGTAGAAGGGAAAAATTCAGCAATGCACAAAGCTGCTTAAACTGTCCCACTGTGTTGGACATTTTTAAATTGTGATCTTGCGTATGAGATTAGTTATATGCCTTAAGGACTAGGGTTTTTATACACAAAAGAATGATTTAAAGAAGGATGTCACTGTTGTTAAGTTTTTATTTCCTTCTTTCATTAGTTTGTGACAGACCCATAAAATATTCTCCAGTTCTAAGAAAATGTTTTAGTTAAATGCAGTAATCTGAAAGTTTGTTATTTTAAAAATAAGTTTGAAGTGCTCCTCTTTTTATGAGAGTGGAGAATACAGGTAATGAGTGGGAATTCAGCCCAAAATCAAACCTCACCTTCTGAATCATGAGCCAGATCTCTGTTAATGAATTTTCTTTTCCTGACATTTGTTGGTTTCTCGTTACAATTTCTCCCACGCTGATTCTACAAAGGGAAAGATAAAATTCTTTAAAAGAATATAAGCCTCAGATGTCTCACACTCACTCACTCACACACACACACACACTCAACACAACACAAAACACATGCACACATAGGTCTACTGGATCCTCCCTCTGAATAGAACATAAAAGTCCACAGCATCAATTCCAATATTCTTTTCTAGTTAGTTTGACAGTGAAAGCTTTTGATGAGAATTCAACAACCAGGGAGAGTTGCTTTCCAGCACTAATCCTAACACACTACTACTCATCAGTCACATATTCATGGTATCTCAGCATCAAAACAACATTAAGCAATTATACTTAAAGTCGTTTTCAGGCTGGATCAAACCTAAATTAAAATACAGTGAATTGTATTTTCTCTCTAATAACCACCCCCCAAATCAAAAAGAGGTGAAATGAAAAATGAGGAAAAAAGAAACAAAAACACCCCAAGTAAACAAAAAGTGTCAGCATTTGTCTCAACTTCGTTCTTTTCAATGTGGCAGACAAACCCAGCCAAAAACTTTGAGTGCAGCAGCTGCTGCTGCCCTCCATCTCCTCTTGCACTCATCTTGGGCACTTTAATCAGAAAAAGGGATCTTAAAAACAAAACTATGCCTTATCCAAATCACTGAAATGTAAGCTCATTTTGAAGATTGGGCTTCTAGAAGCAGAGTCGCCCTACAGTGGCAACAAAGCAGATAAAGTATCTGCAATCCCAACCCCCTAAGCACCCTCCCTTCTCATCCCCTCCTCCCCCCTCACCCCCCCCAGTCAAGTTTATAAACAGCAACTTTCGAACTGATCACTCACATTGGTGACCATGTAAGGCACTTGCTGGTCATAAAATCCATCCATTCTGCTGCTCTTCGCAATTCTCAGCTCAGTGTTTTATATTTTGAGCATTTAGGCTGGAGATTTCCTCGGGATCTGGACTTCTATCAACCTAGAGGGGAACAAGATGGCTTTTAGGCTTAAAAAAAAAAAAATCATGAATGAAGCTCTTGAATTTGCATAGCTAATTACCCTCCGACAGTCCCATTCACAAAAATAACCCTCCCTACACCGCCTCCTTCACCTGGATCCAAAGAGAGCCAAGAGAGTTCACAATTTACATATTTTCGGCAGTAGCAAAAAATCCGAACAAGAGGCGATGTATTTATTTACACTCTCGATGTTTCCCTGCGCGGTCGGTGTACCCCGGGCAGCTCTGATTCGCAAACGTGTGCAAAACTAGCAATGGCGATCAACGAGACTTGCTTTGCACCTAACGGGACTAAAGAGACGGAGACACCTCTTTCATAAGGATAGTTTTTGCAACCCACAACCATGCAATTATCTGGAGAGACATAAAAAGTTGTTGGAAAGACCCACCTGAAGGCCACGCTAGGCGAACGGCTGCAAAAAAATCCCTCCAAATTTAATAAAAACATTAATTATTGCCCAGCACTTCCCCCTTGGAAGCCGAAAGCGCCTCTGACAGAGCTCAATTCGGTGGTTTTTCCTCTACTTCTCCTCCAGGGGCCTCCAATCCAAACTGATGGATCGCTGCCTCCCATTGGCTCCGCGTCTCTTTCACAAGATCAGATTTCGGGCTGTCAATCAGGCGGCAAGCTTCCCCTTCTCTTGGATCTCCCGCGCCCCTTGGCCCAAACCTGTGCTCCGCCGGCTGGCGCGGGGTCCACTGTCTAGAAACACCACGCAGGAAATCGACCGCCTTCCTAACCCTCTGCTTATTGTTACCGCGCCCGGGGACAATGAGTTTCAAGTCGCCAGGTCTCCTTACTGGGGTGTTTGGTTCACTAGGAGGCTGATTTCCTAAAGCACTTTTAGGAAACATACAGGTATATACACTGAAGCTGGATCCCTGCCCGTGCCCTCCTTAGCCCGCCTTCACCCTCTCCCACGATCTCCAGCCCTTCCCCCCACCCCACTTTTAACCTGACGAGGAGTCCACCTCGCTCTGCAGCCTCGTTCCCAACTAAGCTTCTGGCCCAAGTTCTTTTCACCTTCTTCAACATCCACCCAGCACCCTCATGGTTTAGCGAAAGCATTTTCCTCAATAGCATCCTCAACTAAAACAAGATCCTATCGCTGGTGATGCGCAAAAATAAAAGAATCGATAGGGAAAGCACTTGGAGCAGCAGAGCAATTGCTTGTTAGCAAGGGATGCGTCGGGAGGAAGAAACGGGAGGATCACTGAGCCATCTAGGTGAGGAAAGTATAAAAATCTAACTTGTGCCCGCGTGTGCACTCGTAAAAGGTGCTTCCAGTCCACCGTGGAGGTGGGGAGGAGCGGAGTGGGGCTGAGGGCGCTCGGATATCCTAGGAACCCGCACGTTTCCTGAGCTTTTGTTATGTATACACGGAGGCGGGGGGTGTCACTTACTGTACTTGACGCTTTCACTTCCTCTCCAGCTTTCAAACTGCCGGAGCCTGGAGTTGGGGGCGAGCGGTGAGGGGGCTCAGGTTTCAAGGACAATGACTAGGACGGTAAAAAAGGGAGGCTGCATCTCTGAAACCACCGGCCCTCGCCCTCCGATGGGGATTGAAGCCAGAGTTACTTCACCAGCCTTGGCCCAGCAGGGGATAGGAGGCCACTGGGAGGGGACCAGGACCTCCTTGGTGTTAAAATTCACTTGTGGTCTTGGTGGCGGCCGAGTTAGTTACCCAAGGCTGTTTCCGGCAGCCGTCCCGCCCGTTGGGAAATGTGCTACCACTCTCCATCTCCATTTGAAAGTTTCCTTCCTTAAATGGAAGGTTATAGGGACGAAAATGGAGCGTGAGCGCCCAAGACTCGCTTCGGACGCATGGAATGAACCCGGAGAAAGATTCACGTGGAAAAACATGAATTTACTAAAATAATTTACTGGGCTTTCCAGCTACATGCAGTAACTGTGGACAGCAAGGACACACACCGTGCATTCCTTGAAAGTAGTAAATCGGAGTAGCGGTCCTAACGCGCTCACGCACTGGCATTTTGAGCGGGAAATGCACTTTAACCTGGGACAGGGAGAGGTCCTCGGCGCAGTCTGTGCCCCCAGGCTAGGAGAGTAAGCCTCGTGGGTATTTTCCGAGGATGCAATCACGCGGGGGTAGGGAGAGAGGGTGGAGGGGGTGCAATAGCAAGGAGGTCCGCCGCCTGACACTCCCGGGGTAACCCAGCCCCTGAAATCTGAGCAAGTTTCCAAAGGCTGCCCTAGAGGCGAGAGCCTGACTGGTATCCCGGGTAACCGGGAGAGGGCGGAGCTTCAAGTTAGGCCCCCGCGAGGTTCCAGTCACAGCCAATAACGAACCGTAAGTTCCCAGCCCATTGTTGTTTATTGCTGACCCCGCAGCGCTCCGCGAGGTGATTGGCCGAAGAAGAGAAGGGGGCGGAGCGACTCCCGCCCCTGCAGCTGCCTTTCGGTTCCATTCACAAAATTCCGGTCTTTCTTGGTCACGTGGCTGGGGGCGTGGAGGGGCAGGGGAAATGACACAACAAAGGCCAAAGTTTCCCGAGCCACAAAACTTTTTTCTGCCTTGCTGCCTCCTCTCTGATCCGTCCTTATACAAAGAGCAGGAGATGAGGGAAAGGAGTAACAGTTGGATTTTAAAAAGTCCGACATGAAAGGCTCACACGGGGTAGTGCCTGGGTGCACTGCAGAGCAGAAGAGGAAAGGAAGAATTGAGAGTAGAAAGTCTTCGGGACAGACTAGTGACTTTTGCGTGCTTGCAAAGTCATCCAAGTGCAAATAGTTCTTTGCAGATATATTTTAGTTGTCTCACTCGACGTTTATGTGATTTCCATCCCTACCTTTAATTTGTCTCAGTTTCTTGTTGGTTTTTTTTTTTAAAGCTTCTTTTAGGAATATTGCAGGTTTTCGCTGGCTGACAGTTTTAGTTTCCATTTCCTCTCCCTCATTCACAAGTCCCCTAAAACACTTCTCCTATTCCCCCACACCGCTGGACTGGCAAACTGAAAAGGCGAACTCATTCTTTGATTTTACCAGGTATTGCTGGGGCTCCTTATTTCCACTTATGATTTTTTGTAACTCAGGTTTTAACTATTTGACCTTAAGAGTAATTGAAAATTATGTATGTGAATAAACAGCCACACTTCCCAGAGTTCAGTTTTATTGAAATGGCATAAATTCGTTCAGATAAGTATGCCCTTCTTACAAGGACCCTAGCCCTATCTCTCACCACTTTCTCTTCTGTTTATTCTCCTTCAGTCCTTTTTCGTGCCTTGACATACAGTAAGACTGCAGATATTAGTTTGATTGCTCTTTATCTTCTATGCTTGGCACTGGAAAAAAAGCAATAGACCTAGCGCTGAATGCGCTGAAGGGGCTGAAAATTTGTTTTTCAAAAAATGTTACCAGTATGGAAAATGTCCACCGAGGTAGCTGTTAGATCCACAGAAAGGAACGTCAAAAGTTGCACAAAGTTTCCACTACTTTTAAAAGTGAGTCTTTAAAAAAAAAAAAAAAAAAAAAAAGCTTAGTAAATGCCAGTCCTTCTTGAATGGAAAATTTCATTTTGGCAGGAATTCAGGCATCGAATGGCAGAGCAGAGTCCAAGAGGCTTTGACATTTATTTACTTGTATTTTGAAATCCCATCTGGGTTTTGAAATAAGAGCTCTTGAGAGAAAGCCCACCTGCCCTCCCTTCCCTCCCCCCAAATCCGTTTCTGAGTTTGGAAAGATTTTTAACTTGCATATAGAGCTATTTAAATCTTTATAGTTCCTTTGCTGTTATTTAATAAAATAACATCCATCAGTGACTGTTCTGCTGTTAATTTATTACAGAATTATCTTGGAAATACATGATGTTAAATAAAGCAAATTTCTAAAAAGAGCAAAATAGGAAACAAAAATGAGGCCACTTGTTTTAAATGGTTAATTTTAAAATTAAATGCATTTTTCCCAAAATTGGAGTGAATATTAAGTAAAAGAGTAACTTACAATTTATTTAAATACTATATAAGGTAAGTTGTAAGGGCCTACTTTGCACAAAGCTGAATTAAATAAGGAAAAGATAGACAAATAGCAAAATGGGCAAAGGGAATAAACAGTGAACATAATTCCAAAGGAAAACAGAGACTACTGCCAGCATGATGGAAGATTTGTGGCTTTTGTAGGCCCCTGTGGACAGAGAAGCAAGGATTTGGGAGGAGGGTGGAGCCTAAAAAGAAGATAAGGGTGTCAAGAAGGTTCACAGTGTAGGAAGGTTTCAACTTTGAGTCACAACCCCACCTTTGTCAACTGGTGAATATCTTGCCAGCTCTTCAAATAGAGGAAAAGCAGGGCTTATAAACCTGTGCTTTAGAGGATAACTGCACTGGAACTCAAAATATTATGCATTTAAAAATTAAAAAAACATTTTTAACCCCTCAAGTTTGCAGATTTTTCTAATATCTAGGGATGTCGTTGTCAGGATAAGGCTGAATTCACTTATATTGCTATTTGGAATATGACTTCTTACCTTTTAAATGTGAGTTTACAATATCTAACACACCCTAAAGTGTACAATATCTTCTAGACCCTAAAATTAGATTCAACAACCCTGACTTGAGAAGTTCATCCTACAAAAATAAAAGCAATGTGCATAAGGACATTCTTTGAAGTATTATCAATAGAGGAAAATAATTAGAAGCAACTTCAATATCTAACAATAAGAAAATGGTTTTAATAAAGTTTGACAGTTTCATATTTTGGAATGCAACTATATACTATGGTTACACAGATGTTAAAAAGTGTGCTATGTCCTTGGATCTCAAACTTCAGATTATACAGGAAGCTCTGCTAAAAATTCACATTCTTGTGTAGAGCTAGAGTGTAACAATCACTAAGCCTGAGCTGGGGCCCTGGAAGCACACATCATGCGGAAATTCTGTCAAAGGGCTTTGGAAATTCTGTTGAAGGGGTTTGCTGTAGCTGGCCTCTGAATTTTCTTGGAAAACCAGGGATTGGATTTCTACCAGAAATCCAAAGATAGGCCTGCTCCATTTGCTCATGCATGCATGTTTGGCTTGACTCAAGCAATGCTGACCTTCATGGGGAATATTGCCATTGCTTAAAATTCAGATACCAGGGGCCTCCTTGGTGGTGCAAGTGGTTAAGGCGCAACCTATGAAGCTCTTCGCAGCCACTGCAGCACAAGTTAGATCCCAGGCCAGGAAGCTACCCACATGGTGCAGCAGACTTCTCCTGACTCACCCACTGCTCCCCTCAGCAGTGTATTTCAGTAGATCCTCCTCTTCTGTTCCCCACTCTGTCTCTGGTGAATCCTGTCACCCCCCACGCCTCTGACCCGTACCCCAATTCTTGTATGCATAAATAAATCTTTAAAATAAAATAAAATAAAATTCAGATTCCAATACTGCTTCAAAAATCAAGGTGCATGATAACACTGGGCCCAAATCCCCACATGGCTACCATCAGCTGGAGTACAATATCATTATCCATTGTAAAGGAGCATGGACTCTGAATTTTACCACAATCCACGTTCTTCCCCAATTTCTGATCCTTTCTGTTACCCACCTAAACTCTGAGCATTTGCTTATGTCATCCCTGATTTAATATGACACAGCATATTAAGTGGAAAAAAAGCAAGAATATAGAGTAGCATGTATCCTGTTTTTGTTGGAAAGAAAAAATCGTGTATATAAATACATGTATATGTATCAATGTTTCTCACTATTTTTCTTATTATTGACCCCTAGGGCATCTTTTTGGACTTTTTTTTTTCCTAATTGTCCTGCCCCATGTAATTGTAATACCACAAATATACTGTATATCTGCTTGTGTCCTTAATTTTACAAGGACAACAGAAATTTTGATTGATAAAATAGCAATGTAGCTAGGTGGTTA